TGGATGGATGGATGGATGGATGGATGGATGGATGGATGGATGGATGGATGGATGGATGGATGGATGGATGGATGGATGGATGGATGGATGTGTAAGTTAGCTATACATGGCCTAAAAAATTAACAAGACAAGCTCTCTATACAATTAGACACAAAGCTTGATGAAGTTTGAAAGAAGAATGGGAAAAGATATATAGTCAAAATATAGTGTAAAAATAAGTAGAGGTATGTCTTAAAAGACTTAAAGCTATAAATTAAAAAAATAAAAACTGACTTGAAGTCACACTTTTATTTTCTTTTGCAACACAAATATAAAATCCTTTAAGTTCATTAACCTTGTAAAACCTAAATAAATACACTTAAATGATACTCCTTGGAAAAGGACCTCAAACCTTATAGTGACATGTCACTCTTAGGTGACTTTTTCTTTAAAAAAGAAGCTGGACTGTTCAATAGATAATTGGAATTTGTCTTTGTGTCACAAATAAAAGAAAAGAAAACTTTGCGTTTGCAGAGGGAGTGATGGTGGGTGGATTTTTAATCAGCAGATTACAGTTTGAAGCTGAGCTGTCATTCAGTGGCACAAGGAATTTGTATAGCTCTGTACCCTGTAAACAAATTACTTGACTCCAGATGACAGTTGCACTTTGAGGTTTGTAAGGCTGTGTGCTTCTAATATAAATTTTTGAAAAACAAATCATCAGAGCATGAAATAAATATGACATCTTTTTGCTATTACACCTGAAGTCGTCTTGGAGCTTAATAGACAACCCTTCCCCCACCACCACACACACACACACACACACACACACACACACACACACACACACACACACACAGGCACACACACACGTGCAAACAATACATTTGACTGACAGGAGACACTGGTGGCAATGATCTTTCACAGATGAACCAGTTGTAAACCATGCTGCTCCCAGCATATACAGACCAAAGAAAGCTTTAAAGTGCAACCTACAAAAGATTTAGATCCTGGAGCACTGATTGACATTTCCTATCTTTGACACTTTGACATGGAAATTAGGTTTTTTAAATCAAGACCTCCAGTCTCTGGAATGTTCTGCATCACTCTTTGTGAGGTGCACACCGGCCTGTTTGCCCCGGCAGCATACAACCCAATGCCTCCTGGTAAAACATCTGTATACAACACTGATGCAAATGTATGGTTTGATTATTTTTTTTTATAGATATTGTTTTTGTTAATCACAGATGTATAGAGCATTTTATCCTTCGGATGTGCAGCAAAGGCAGGAAGACGTGCTTATACATTCATGTATATTTTAGGGGTAAAAGGGTATAATTTAAAGTGCATTTTAAAAGTTCTAAAGAGAACATCTTAGTAACTCTTGAGATGGACAGCATGTCTCTTTGTGTTGCTGTGTGCCATTTCTCCACTGGCCTTTCAGGAAGCTGCGTGCATGTCATTCCAACAGAAAACTTCATATCCCAGCCCTTCTCCCATCAATCATCATGCCATGTTGGGCAGACACAGAGAGAACCACCTAGAAAAAGCTCTCTGGTGCAAATCTTCAATAAAGAGCGACTGTCACACAGAGCTTCCACCGAAACCTTAGTTTCTACAGAGCTCTGTTCTGCACCAGCCAACGTTTTTTGAACGTTTTTATCTCCAGTTTGGAAAGATGTTTTCTTTCTACACTGATTTAGGCCCAAAAATTGCATTTCTTTTGATTCTGTGTACAAATATTTGCAGTTTAGGTTAAAAAAAAGAACTCTTTCAGTTTTGTGTCACTACCCATCTGTTACCCTAGCATATATAATTTGATTTCGGGCTAAATAATATTTCCACAAAGATTTTAGAACACGTAAAAAAATATATTTTTAAGACATCAGATTTAATTTGTGTCATTGCAATAAAACACTTGCAGTTGCTACTGAAATGTTGAAGTAATGACAACATTAACTAATTTCCTGCCATGCTACAGAGATGTTCATCTGCTCTAATGAAAATTCACTCATCCTGCCACACCAAGTGGCCACGATAGAGGTCAGCTAATATTTATTTTACTATAAAGACTGTGTATAGAGCGATAACCTTTATCTCAGAATCGTCAGGTTATAATTAAATGTGGAAAGAAGAATGTACTGTAAAAGACTTGGTCGGGCAGTACAGTACTTAGTCTTTACAGCAGCAGAATCACAATCATGCACTGATTTTTTTTCAACAAAATATTTTTGAACTTTTTCTTTTGTAATTTCTTTTTACCGAAATTACTTGTTTAAGCTTCAAACATGTCTCTCTCTCTTTATTTTTAGTGTATTTTAAAGACTTTGTTACATTACCATTCAAAGGTATAACATTATTTCTATAAAGAAAATTATGTGGATAAATATTTATTGTTGGTCATGCTTCCTTCAACGTACTGTATTATAGCTCTTTAATCAGTTTGACTATTTGAGATTTTTAAATCAATCCTTCTTTTATGTGATGCTTTGCAGGGGTCATAACCACTAGGAGATGTTTTTCAATGGTTTTGTTTTGGCACACCTGTGGCAAAATATTTGCTTTTCAGTTTTATTTTAGAGATAAAATCATGTCTTAAACAAAAAAAAAAAAACAAGCTTTGTGGAATTATTTGTGAAATTTGGAACTGACTTTACATTTTTTCCATAAGTGCCCAGTCCAGTGACATCTGTCAGCTTTCAAGGACCAAACCAGTGTAACAGAGCATGAATATGAGCACAAAGGAATTGCAGCAGCTGAATGACTTGACAATATGTCTGTTAGAGGGCACTGGTTGAAAAAAAAAGAGGATATAGTTCTCTGTTAAACCCACATCACCGTCTTACCTTGGACCTCCTTGTCATTTCGGAACCACCGAATGTTGGCAGCAGGTTTGCTGCCTGATGTGGTGCATGTCAGGGTGATTTCGTCTCCCTCCATGGCTGGCTTGGTAAATCCTGTGATTTCTGGTCGACTTGGCACTCCTAGGAGATTAGTGCCAGTAAGATTAGCTTTCTAAAAACATATAAAAGCACTAATTTGCTAATTGCTAGTCATTTAATTTAGCTGTCCATAATTCCTTCTGATAACACCATATGCATCATATCCAGTATATGCTTGCAACTACAGTAGTGTATGTTTTTCCTCATCCGTTAGGTTAGATTATTGTATAGAGATCTAAATTAGCTGCAATACATACAATAGTGCTACCATAGAAACCAAGAAAACAGACCACATTAAAATAGACCTTAAATACCAAATTTGATCGCTGCAGTATTGAATTTGAAAAGTTAGAGATAGATATGCGTCTCAGATATGATGTACAGTACACAGTGGTTAATATAAGAGCTCTTTACTTTGTAGTATTGGAGTAAGAACTATTCAAAGGGAGGAAACATCTAGTTTTGATGTTTTTTTGCTCTCAAACTGAGTGAGATCTGGAGATTTGTTAAAGGATCTGCTCCTTTAAATCTGCGCTGAAACCATCTATGTTTAATGGGTATGCGGCAATGAAAAAATAGTGCTGATATCGAAATATGATATTAATATTTCAATTACACAATCACCAATATTTATTATCATTATATATTTTTATACCTTTTGGACATCTTGAAAAGCCAACATAAGTGCTAACATGACTTCTCCCCTTCAGTTAAACACCCATAATCCTGCATTGCATAACTATAATGGTGCGTTCACAACATGCACATTTCCAGGAGTAGAAGAGACCGATTTACTAGTTATTCTGGAACAATGTGATGTAAAGTGATGTGACACCTGTGATGGATACAAAATGAATTTTTGGGGTGGAATACCTGAACTTTTGTGTCTGGTTATGTTCTGAGTCAATCAGGAATTACATGTATCTAAGATGTGGGAAGAAGGAGTGCAGCAGAGAGGAAAACAGAACAAAAATAACACTGACGAAAGATGGAGAAGCAACATTTTTTTAAGAGGTTTGTGGGTGGATTTTAAAAAAGCTGTGTTAATTTAGCCCTAGAAGGACTGTTAACCTCGGTACCTGGCCAATCTGACATGTGCACATGTTGATCTATTTATAGAAATGGCCGAAACACAGCCACATGGTGTTTAATCAACATGCCTTTCAAAATGGGGCTTTAGAATTTCACAAACATGTTCAAAATTATTTTTTTCACAATTACTTTTTGTTTTATAGCTGTGTAAACAAATAAAATGAGATACAAAATTCCACCTGGTATTACTGGTACCGGGTGTTACTGTGCCAAAGTAATGCAGAGGCAAGTATTCCTTTCTGAGCTGCAGAACACTGTGCCACTGTTCTGCATTAAATAATGAATAAAGTATCATGACTCGCTCAGTGAAACCAGGTCCTGCCATGAAACCAGCAAGTGGAAGATAGATACTCCTTCTATTTGCTGACACAGAGAAGCATCAGGGGTGGAGCTTGTCGCCGGCCACTCCGAATGCTGGTATTATATCAGGCAAGCGGCAGTACCCAAATGTGGGAACTTTGTTACTGGAAACGTGTGCATAACATAACTGCCACATGACTAAACAAACACATGACAATCCCTCTCCCCTGCTGATACAAAAACAGCAACTAATTAGAAATAAATGCATGTAGGCTGTAAATACCACCCCAGTTTTACTCATTAGACTGATCCTGATATGTTCAAGAATTACCAGCATTTCCAGATTATTATATTTATGCTGCTATGTTGTGAATACCTATTAATTAAAACAGCCGACACATTAAGGCCAAACACTGCTTTATCACATTTCACTTGTTTTTTTTTGCTTTTATTCACTTAAACTTAGGCTAACTATTTGCCTGTCTATCATTCTGATTCTGTATGTCTGCCAGTCTTGTTTCTGTAATACACAACAAAACAAAGTTGGCAAAATTACTTATAAGTAATAAAGGGTAAAGAAGTGTTGTAACTTATCCCATTTTATTTATAAAATATAGGTCTCAACAAGGAAAGTTGTTGAGACCTTCAAAATTAGAGTAATAAATGGAAGCTGTTAACCTTATAAATAAAAATGGTATAATAATAAATAATATATTTAACATTTACCATATAGATAAATAGGTAAACAAGTAAACAAATGTCCCCATTTAATTAAAAAACTAAATATGTAAATAAAATTGCTTATCATAATTTCATGTATTTATTAATTTTAAGATGTATTTATTTACCTATTTTTTTTTACGTTGCTTGTTACTTATTTTTATAATACATCATTTTATCTTTTTTAATAATTTTGTATTAAAACATACTTAAGTAGTTATTAAAAGGTTTATCTAATTAAAAATGTCTTTACTTATTTCATAATGGTGTTTTATTTTGTGACACTTACATTGCAAAGCTACTATCCATATTTTTGGACCTTTTTTTTTACCCTGTTGCTCTTTTAGGCTCTTTTTATGACATCGGCTTTTAGTATTTGTTCTTACATTCAGATGAGAGTGTAAGGCTTTCTATGTAATAGCTTCTTGTAATAAAAGTGTCACAAAATAAAATCCAAAAAAAAAAAAAAAATCATTCAGTCCAGGAATAAACTGATAAATATAACTTGAAATAAATCACACACTTGCAATAAATGCCTACATTTTTAAAATGAACATATTCAGGTACAAATTTTTTAACAGTAAATATGTTATAAGTAATTATGTGATGGTACTGCCTCTCTACTAAGCAACACCAGCCATGTTGCCTTGTTGATATAATAATAAATATAGGTCCAAAAAAACTAAACAAAAAAAAACAAACAAAAAAAAAAAACTAATATTGGATTATATTGGCCTGCACCTAAAATCTCTGACATGGGCATGCTGATATAAAACTTTGCTTCTGTGTAAATTTTAGTGGTTAATATGAGAACAATTGGTTGGTCTTATACATATTATTGTTGACCATTGTTCTTTGTTTGATCAATATCACTTAATCAAACAGCTTTGAACATTCCACACTACAAAATAAGCAATTAAAAATAAGCTATCATATGTAGAAGCACTGTAGATACTACTGTATATATCCATGCACCTTTTTCTGCCTTTGGCACATTCTTCTTCTTTGACTATTTGAGCTGATGTAACGAGTACATTTCTCCACTGTGAGATCAATAATCAAGTCCATCAATCAATCAATAAAAGTATTTATGATTAGTGCTGATATCATGTCAGGTCAATATCAATATTGGTCCATTTTAAAAGGTGCAAAATCAGTTTTGTATCAGAAATGAAAATGTATAACTTGTAATTTGACTTTTGTTACTTACTTATCCACACATTAGTTCAGATGGCGTATTGATGTTTATATTCGTAATTTCTTTCTTGAATTAATTAATCAAAATGAATGCACTATAGCGCAGCCATAAAAAAATTGTATATACCAAATTACACCATCATTTTAAAGGCATGTAGACACACTTCAGAATTGTTACGCTCACCTAAAACAGTGAGGAAAGCCTTAGTTGTCTTGACAGGCATGGTGAAGAGTGAGCATGTATACTGGCCCTCGTCTGACAGGCTGACGTCATTGATTCTGATGGTGAGCTCCTGTGACGTGGCTCTTACAAGCTCAATTCTGTGATCTCTCAGAGCTGAAAAGAAGAAAACAGAATGACAAAGAAAAACACATCTCATTAATGAGAAGACATATAGACCTAGCAACTGCACCTGCAGAGATAGATGTGGAGGATTTCTTTAAACCATTGTTGAGTAAACTGTATCCTTCCTTAGTTCAAAAAAAGTAGTTTGTAGCGTTCTAGTCTGAGAAGCTTATCCATAGTCACAAAACACAGAAAAAGTGAGACACTTTAAAGTGCAACAGCAAAGCAAAAACAAGTATTGCCAATACATTTATAATGTTTAAAGTAATTTACACATTATGACTTAATGTCCAGGATATAATGATGCATTAGATTTACGTCAGAACCTCGAAATCTTCCTTACCTCCTTCGCTCATATCTACATTTGGTCACGCCCCTCAGTGTTGCTTTGCACAGCCTACTTTGGCGAAGGATTTCATAAATAATTTTGGGTCAGAATCATGCTTTTATACTGGGTTAGGACAAACTTTAAATGCTCCATTTAATTTATTTTACTGTAAAGAAGTAGAACCATAAGGTCATTGGAAACTTTTAGCACATATCTGCCAAGTCTCCTTTTTTGGCCAAGAAACTATTGTAACTTACCCCTCTTTCTCACCATCTTCCCTTATTGCTAATATGGGAAGATGGTGCAATCCAATATTATTGTATTTAAAATAAAAAAAATTTTGTGTAGCAAAGAGGGTTGTGCAGTGGCACATTGAGGCACTGCTATAGGGAGTAAAAAAAGTTTAAAGTTTGCAATTTTTGTATATAACAGCTTTTGTGCATGTGTAAGTCACTGTCAATACAGATTACCCGCGCCCCTCTACCCACACAACAACCTCCCTCAAGTGAATGTGACTGTTTGGGCAGCAGGGAGTATTTACATGGAGTAGCATTGGTGCTAAAGATGGACTCACAGAAAAGGAAGCTCTCAGAAACTCAAAATAGGAAATGAAAGAGGGATGAGAAAAAAGTTGCTGCGGTGAAAGGGGAATTGTCCAAGTGAATAAAAGACAGCAGATACTCTGAATGAAGTTTAGTAGCTGTGTGGAGGCTTGTACACATTAGAAATGAGCTTAAACTAATACAAGTGAAACAGCAGGTTACTATGAAAGAAAGTTGTTTGTGGTTATATTATTTTACAAGCAATTATCAAACTGTTGTGAATCGTTAAATAGGTCAAATTTAGAATTTGGGAGTAATAGATGAATTGCAAAGGGAAAATAACTCTCTCCTTAAATCTGCAGATTGGTTTTCTGATACAGAAATAGCATCATTTACAGAAACAGTTTATTCCAGATTCAAATTTTTATTTTGAACTATTAAACCTATGACACTTGACAGATATACATGTAGGTACAATAAGCCTTTTATATAACTTCTGAGAAGTCTATATTTTTTTATTTTATATTCTTTTTGTTTAATTTAACTTTGTAATGATACGGAGGAGACTTTAGTTATGTTTTTTTAATTTAGAGGATATATTTCCGTTACCTTTGAACATCATTTAGGTATATATATCAAGGCAGAGTCAAGTGTCCTCTTTTTTTTTTAGAAATCAAAATGTGCTCACCCTAATTTTGATATGACACTAGTGCTGATGTGATGTATCCTATCAGTCTAAATAGACGCAGTGTCCAATCCATTAAAATGATAACATGAATTCAAATTTCTTTCGTTTTTATGTGTGGTATTAATGCTTTAGTTTGGAACCTATACAAGTCTTACGTTTTTTTATGATGGCTGTGATATGTGTAACTTCAAACATGTAAGCCTATAAAAATGTCTGAAATGTGTATATTATTTCCATGTGAGACCATCAGTGTTATGCATGAACAATGTTCACTGAATACGGTCATATTTTTAATGAACTGAACGGATCAGTTTTGAAGTAATGAACGTGAACGAGAGCGATGTTCACAATATTGATTAGCGACACACACAGCTCAAGTTCACGTTCATTTGATGACACTTTTCATTGAATAACGTCAGCTTTTTACGACATTTACTGAGTCAAATATCATGACATACCAGTATGTTTACTGCTAGAACTAGTGTGCACGTTACAGAGTCATCTACCAGTATTTCTGATGCGTTTTGCAGAGCACTTGGCAGTTTCTTATGAACTAACAGGAAAAGACTTAGCGAGCAAAAAAAAGCAAATTTTTTTGCAAACTGGGATCAGCTCCATCTAATAGAATGGTAGGGTTTTTTGTTTCACATATTGTGTGTTGTAACTAGTTTTTTTTTTTTTTTTTGTTTCACATATTGTATGTTCCACTTTAAACTTGGCAGGCTAGACTCAGAAGACACTTAGACCATTTCCATAATCAACAAGTTTAATAGGAATCCAAAGGTAGGAACACAAGGAATCTTTCAGAGAGGTCAAAGGTTTCCAAAAACAACGGGCTGAACAAAGGCCGGACTGCTGGCTGGTTGACAAACTGGCATGGTGAGAAGGGAGCAGAATGGCTAAATACACAGAGGAGGAGATGATTGTGAACAGGTGTGATCAATCAGACTGACAGGCAAGTGTATGCAGCAGAGATGGGCCAATTAAACTAAGCTTTCACATATGTAAGAATCTCATTTTACAGTTTATTTTAGTTTTAGCCGCATTCAAACATTTCTTCATCTACATGTGCAAAAATCTAACAAGTATGAGTTTGAGGAAATATACAACAAACATTTTAATGTTATATTGCAACAATCAGGACTTCCTTTTTAAACTGTGATGATACAGCTAAACTGAATAAGGTCAGCCTGCACATTTTATCCCTTTTACACAATTAAACACTGAATAAGCTTCGTCTTCTGTGTGAGTACAAGTGAGTAACCAGAGAGGGCAGGAGATACAGTAGCTTCATTGAATGAATTACACATTCTTAATCCTCATTCCCTTTAGGCCAGCCCAGCTCTCTCCTGGGAGCCTTTCATTTAAGGTCATTTAAACTCTGTTGTGCTGTGCTCTCAAGAAAAAAGTCTGGCAAAATACAAAGGGGAGGTTGCTGATTAGGATTTCGGACTAGTGGTAGGTCACAGCTGGCATTTGATTTCAAAGATGCAAAAACAGCAGACAGGAATTACAGTTAAATGTAACCAGCTGAGACAGTTCTTAGCTATTACAGCAAAAACAGAAAAGCTGCTATTTACCCCATAATTAGTTGTGATGTTTGTTATTACATAATGACATGCAGTTAAATGAGCACGGAAACCAATGCCTAGAAGAAGTTCATATATGAAGATTTACATTCTGGCTTTGAAGAAAAAGAGAAAAATAAATACAGAAAATCTTCAAGCAAGAATTTTAATTTATAAAGGACAATGCCATTTGGCAGCAAGCTCCTGGATTTAATAGAAACATTTGCAAGACCTGCTGATGCAAACAGAATCCTGAAACAAAGTGATTCTTTGTAAGTCTTTGGTGGATCACAAACTAGAGAAGTGATGAGGTCTGAGCAAACATTGCACAGCAACTCAAGATATGGAATTATGGCCCAGGAGGATCAAAGCTGTGAATGAGATGACACACTGCTCTTAGCCTCTATCCCTCTATCTCTGTAACACATGGAGGAAAGACAGAGAGAAAGAGGCCAGGTTTTCTTCTTTCATGCCCACTCTTCCTGGAAGCACAAACACCTTTTTGAGAAGCTGCTAAATGTTTTCTCTGTGTTTTCTAACATGGATTTGTTGTTGGAAAGCTGCTGTTTTCATTTTATGATAAACTGCCAGAAACCTGTGATTATTTGTATGAAACATTTGCATTTTTTTCCCAGTAGGTGTGATGAATATGAAATGATATCTGTTTCGACATATTCAACAGGGATTGAAATACCAATGAAACTCTCCTATGATGGTAGAGCATACTCTCCTTGGTTGTTCTTCTAATAAAATAGGTATCATTTATCATTATTTACATTGTGCTATTTTTAGTCTTAGTACTCCATAGTGACACATATAATGCCAAATAAAAGTATCCATGTTCCTTCAGTTTTAACAAAGCACACATTCACATTCAGCGCTACTGAGTCAACACTAGAAACATCTTTTACGACTCTTACTGTAAAGATGCAAGTCTTCTGGGGGTTATCTCTACCAGCTTTGCACATCTCGACTGCAATTGTGTTTTCAAAATAGCTCACATTCAGTGACATTAGATGGAGTCCATCTGTACACATCGGTTTTCTGCCACAGATTGTCAAGAGGATTTAGGCCTGGACTTGGCCGCCTCATTGTAAAAAGGAATATGCGTCTATCTACTCTCTGCCTTTGAGGCTCTGCCTGTATGTTTAGGGTAATAAGGTTAAGGTTTGCCTTCGTCCCGCATCTCTTCTAGCTGGTTTTCAACCAACTGTTAATTATAGCTAACTGGTTTTCTTGTTCCTGTTAAAGACAAGCTTACTGTTGATGATGCAGCCATTTTCATATCTCATGGTGGGTAAAGTGTGTTCAGGGTGATTTGGTGTTTTGGATGATGGTGATAGATAGTTCAGTTTTGGTCTAATCTGAGCAGGGTACGTTCTCACACATGCTTGCTGTGTTTCCTACTTGCATTGTGGCAACTTGCGAACATGACTATGTCTTTCTTTAAGTGCTTAGCTACTCAGTTTCATTTTTATTTAACCTTTATTTAACTTGTAAAGTTTGGTTTAGATTCAGAAACCTCTTATTCTCTAATGTATTTGTCTCACACTCTTTCAAATCTCAAATAAAAAAAATTCCAATTAAACTGAATTAGTCCCTTTACAAAATGATAAAGTTTCGCATTTCTCTAAAACCTTACCGCTGACTTGTCTGGTGTTTTCTTTGATACTTATGATGTTGTTTGTAAAACGAGTCCTGAAACAAACCTCTAAGGGCTTCACAGATCAAGTGGGTTTAAATAAAAAAAACTTGGATTTAGATAGTTGGGGAAAAACTGTAGGGGTCCATTCTTAACAGTCGTTTGTAAGTACGTTTAAGAAACATTACTTCTCCAAAACAAATTACAGCACTACTTTATACTG